CCGTCAGGCCTTGGGAGTGCCTGAACACTCCTGCCTCCGGATTCTGCGCAACATCTACGGGAGCACCACCGCTCCTAGGGGATTGTGGCTGAGCCTGAATGAAAAGCTCACCTCACTGGGCGGTCGCGCCATCCGAGGCGAGCGATGCTTGTGGGCCTGGTACAGCAAGCACGAGATGGATCCCGTCACTGGCAATCCACGCTTGCTCGGTCTCATGGGAGGACACGTCGACGACTTCCACCAGATCGGCGACGAGAACTCTCCCGAGTGGCAAGAGGTGGCGCAGCTCATCGACACCTCCTACAACTGGGGAAGCAAGAAACGTGGCTCCTACCGCCACGCCGGGTCCGATGTGCACACCATTGAGGAGAAGGACGGTGGCTTCCGCATCCAAGTGGATCAGAGCTTCTACGTCGAGGGCTTGGCTGACATCAGCATCGACCCTCAGCGCCTTCGAGAACAAGGTCCCTTGGCGCCTCATGAGGTCAACGCATGCAGGACAGCACTTGGAGCCCTCCAATGGCTCGCTGTCCAGAGCCAACCACTCATCACTGCCCGCTGCAACCTTTTGCTCTCTGAAATCACCACCGCTGGAACCTTGGAGAGTGCTCGCGAGATCCAGGCGATCATCAATGAGTGCCGTGCCCAAGCCACCTGTCTGGAGTTCAGTCGTTTTGATGACTGTGAGTCTTGGGACCAAGGCGTTTTTGTGGGAATGGGTGATCAAGCCCACTCAAATAGAGAGAAAGGGGGAAGCACTGGTGGGATGGTGATCCTGGCATCTTCTCCCAAATGCCTGGATGGAGCGGTGAGCAAGATGTCGCTGCTAGCTTGGCGCACCTGGAAGCTGAAGCGCCGTGCGGTGGGATCAAACGACGCAGAAGTGCAGTCGATTCTCGAGACCGAGGATGTCCTGTTCCGCTCGAGGGTGCTTTGGGCAGAGCTCCATGGCGCTGGGAAGCACGTGGCTTCCACACGTGGTTTTGACATGGTGGACGCCATGGAGGCGGTGGCTCGCTTAGTGAAAGGCATTTTGTGTACAGACTCAAGAGGAGGATTTGACGCCATTGAAGTCAGTGAGTCTCCACTTTTAGGTTTGACAAACCTCCGAGCGGCCCTTCAAGCATTTCAATTGCGCGACAATTTGCGTCGCACGGGCTGCGCGTTGAGGTGGGTTGCGTCGGATTACGACTTAGCCGACGGGCTCACAAAGAAACGCCCCGAGGCGCGCATCGGCTTAGAGAGATTTTTGAAGTCATGGCTTTGGGCCATTGCATTCGATGCATCGTTCACGGCTGCCAAGAAGAACAAGCGACAAGGTCGCACAGCTGTGAAGAAGATCGATGACTTTGAAAGCTCAGGCCAAAATGAGTCAAAGACTCAAAAACCTTTTTTGCCGGTGCAGGTTCCATGGCCTTGAGCTTGAGCTTTTGTTGCATCCATGTTTTTCCATGCCACTTGGCCCGAATCCAGGGGCCCCTTTCGAGCACTGACTCGACCACTGCGGTCGGTAGAAAAGCTGAGCCATTGCGGCTGTCCGGACTTCGTTCGTACTTTGTGTTTGAGCCCCTCGATACGCTCCACTTGTGCTCCACCCGCTACACATTCCTAGCAGGAAAAAATGTCAACCGAAAAAGTAGTCAGGTTTTGGCAGGGTGCCAGGCTGGTTTTCTGCTGAATGAACTTTAACAAACCAAGCCAAAAGGTTGAGGGGACTAAAATACGGTTGTTTCCTCGGCTGGCTTCTGTTCTGACATTGGAGCTACAATGCAATGCCAGGTTGTGCTCTCCAGAATCCAGGTCGATTCGCCTGGTTCTCCAGAGCCCCAGCTCATGTAGTAGTTGCGGATTATTTCCCTCCCCTGGTTCGGTCTTGGCTTCCGCCAACTTTGCCGTTTGCTAGGTCCGGACCGTATTCGCGCCGCTACGCGGCTGGGGCCGCCTGCACCGGGAGAAATGTCATAGAGATTGGGGCGCTTAGGCAGCCCTGCATCAAAGAATATGAGTCAGAGACAAAACTATGGTCAGGGGTCTGCTGAGTTTGCTGCTGCTGCTGGTCTCTTGGCTGCTGCTTGCTGCTGCTGCTGCTGCTGCTGGTAGTTGTGGCACCACCACAATTTGGGTCGACAACGAATTTGGTATGCCCGTGTATGACATGAGTGACTTGGAGCAGTCGCTGTGCGAGTGGGTCACACATCAGCTGGGGGGAGCGCTGCAAATTCGATCGCGTGCTGTAAGCATGAGAAGGGACAAGTGCCTCGTCGGCGGAGAGGGCTGCGGCCGATGTTTGTGGTAATGTTGTGGTATATATGTGTGGTGTGAGCAAACATGCAAGATGGGCCAAACGGGGATAACTGGAGAGTTGGTTTGTGCAGTCGTGCACTGAGGCATGGCCATCCATAGAATGGAGTGGCAGTTGGCGGAGTAGAAACACATGAAGGGGTATTTGCTGATCCCAGCTGTATACAATCTTTCTGCTGCTTTTTTGCTTTCCTAATTTGCGGTGGTATAATATAGGTGTAGTGACTTGGTGTCCCACCGTCCCGGCTCTACCTAATACAAACCACTAGCCAGCTTGAACCACACCATGAAGCCATTGATGTTTGTTTATGCAAAAACTCAACGTTTTCTAATTCTTTCAAGAACGCCTCCAAAGTTTGCGTCTCGATTCTCAAACACCTTCAAAAACTCAGATGTCTTGCCCGATTAATGGCCCCCCCCGCAGCTAAAGCTGAAATCTTGCAATTGACTATGCCATTTGGATACACATTGAGCCGAAGCACAGAGTCATTGCGACAGCTTGGGAACCAAACTGGAGGTAGTGTTGCCAAGTACTGACGCATGTTGCTCAAGGTCTCCGGGCTGAGTCTTCCGTGTTACAAATGTGGTTTCCTTGGAAGACGACACATTACTTTTTTCTTAAGGACTGCGCAGGTTCCACTTTGCAAAGAACATCGTCGTGGGATGACACAATGGGCCAACTTCTGTCGCAACTTGGGCCCTTCACCAGCTTCGGCGCGTTGTCCAGTGATCATTGCTTTTGCGCAGGCGCTGGCTGAGAGTCCCTAATGGACAGGGGCAGGGGCTGATTCGGTAAAGGAAACGTTCTTGGTGCTTAAAAGTTTGCCTGCCACTCCCTTGGGCGGCCCTCTTGAGCTCCGAGGCCGCGTTGCTTGTCGTTGCCAAGTCTGAAGACAGTATATGGAGTCCGGCCAAAAGTCTGTCTATAATCAAAAGATATAGATAAAGGGGTCGAAAGTAGATTATGATGTTGTTTTTTCAATTAGATTATGTAGCGGGCCCCCAGCTAAACACACCAATTCTGCAGCTGGGCGCTAGGTTTGCGGTAGACTTGCGCTAGTGACGCTAGTGTTTGCCTTAGGACATATTCAGAACGTCGTCAGGTTTTTGAAAAGTGGCTGGCTGAAAAATGCGCTAGCCGCGCGCTAGCACTGCGCTAGATCCGCGCTAGCAAACATTGCCAGATTCCAGCGTGGAGTGGACCCTTCCAAGATCTTCCAAGGCTGACTTGCAACATGTCTTTTGTTTCAAGCATGGCTTGAAGCTCGGAGATCAGCTGAAAACGGTGCAGCGCTAGTGACGCCTCTTACAATTTGGCGCCAATACTTGTTTGATCCATGTTTCCTTCATTGACCTGTGTGTGTGTACCAGAGTAAAGAATATGTAGCGGGCCCCCATGTGAACACGACTTTTAGCCATTTTTGGAAGAAGGCATTTCGACCAGATCCCATATATATATATGACACGCTGTGGGGCACAAAGTTATTGCGCAGCTATTGCGGACCATTTGCTGGGCTTATACGTTATCAGAAGATCACTCACGGGACTTCTTGTTTGCTCAGCGAAGCACGCGCCAATGTTTTCCCAACAAGGCAGGATGCAGATATCGTCAGGTATCCCTGTTGTTGACGAGGGGCTGCTTCGCTCTTCATAGCTGTAAAGCGTCAACGCATGTGAACGCTCTCGTGGGCCAACTGGCCTTCTGAGGGTGGTGCAGGGCGGTGCTTTTCAAAGTGCAGCAGGGACGACGTAACAAAATGTGCAGAGTCCCGGACTATCGCGAAGACAGGCCTGCGCTGGCGTGCTTTGCGTAGAGAGGAAAGACACAGTGGGCGAGGGCCCGGAAAAAGCTGCCCCACTCACGAGAACTTCAAGTAGTCTTCTGTGTTTATCACTGTCCGCCTTGTCCCCAAGGCTGGCTTCTCAGCGCGAGAAAACAGGCTGGTTGCCCGACAAAAATGGCACGGCGCGCAAATGGCGCATGGCTTCCAGACCACAGACGAGGGTCACCGCGGGCTCGCGCGTGTGGTGGTTTCTTATGTTTTTTTCCATCCTCTAATGCTTCTGTCAAGTCCCCTAGTCCAGGCATTTTTCAAAGCCGTTTGCTGCGTCGGCGCTTTGGAAAGACCTCATTACGAGGTCATTTTTTTCCAGGCTTTGTGATGCTCACGCAATTGAGTTGAGCTGGGGTGTTTGATGCGAACTGGCGGCTCAGCAAGTTGCTCACCGTTGCCAAAAGCTAGGGTCCAAACCAGCGAACCAGGCAAACCCTTCTATCGACCATGCAAAGATTTAAACTTCTGTTTCCAGCTGGGATCACGGAAGGTTTACTACTACTACTACTACTACTACTACTACTTATACTTACTACTACTACTACTACGACGACTACCACTCCTACTGCTACTGCTACTGCTACTGCTACTACTACTACTACTACTACTAGCCTGGCTTGGCATACAGGCACGAATTGCGACATTTAGTCTTAGCCTGCGGGTTTCGCATGTTTGGTTGGGCTTGGGGGGGCTTTGCAGCTGCCGCATCCCCTAATGGGTGGCAAGCATGCGTCCAAAGCAGGTGCCGACATTTCAGCCTCAAGATGCCCAGGTAGGTCCAAGGTTCTTGGCGAACATTGGCGATCGCCCAGTGAACTCTTATTTTAGTTGGTTATTGGTTATTTTGGTTTGCAGCAGCACCAGGTATGTCGCTCTTCGCTTGATGCTTCTACCCTTCCTTGCCGACGGAGCACTTGCTGGATTGTCCAGCTGGGGCAGGCAAACCGCACATAGTTGCAAGGAACGTCAAATGAGTGCCCCACCAAATTGTGCATCATGCTTGGGTTTTGGATGCAAGTCCTGATTTGTTGCGGCGCGGGGTTTTTGTCCGGCAGGTTTGCACAACCTGTTTTGCTGATCATGATTACCCTGGACCTTTGGGCACTGGTTGTGGCAGCAGGGTTCCCAGGACTGAGAATGAAGATGAAAGCAGGCTGGCTTTCACTACCGGACTACGAGCCTTTGTTGAGCTCCCATTCACACAAAGACCAAAAAACTCCGTCAAGGGACCATTAAGATCACAGAGTTGCGCAGAGTTGGACGTGCTGCAGCTCAGTAACCACTTTTTCTCAGCCGTTCAAGACCAGGCGGCCTATGCCTGCTATCGTCCCAGCATGGCTGTTAAGTGAGGAACTCAGCAACATTCTTTTGGGGCCCAAGTGAACCTGGCAGATGGAGACTGAATGACACGAAGATTGTCACTACACCAACTCTGGGGTCCATGCAACCTTCTACATCATGTTTGTGCCGGTTTGTCACGTTCTTCAATTTGTGAGGTACTTCGTCGCTGTGTCCATCGTTACTGGCATCCCATTTCTTTGCAACCAATTTATTCCGAAGTGAAGCGAATGATGTAAAAAAGCAGCTTTGTGAGCGTGGAGCAAAGAGGGCAAAACAATTCTGTTCTGCAAGGTTAGGCTGAGCATCGTCACGCACCACATGTGGTTTCAGGTTTCTCATGTTGAAACTTGAGGTGTTCGTTGCGCTAGTTATGCGTTTCATTCCACTTTGTGATGGCTCAAAAGGCTGGTTCGAGGCCAATTTTGTTTTTTACAGGCTCTTGAGCCGCAGGCTCCGAAGTGACAGTTGCCATTTGCAAGGGATTTTCCTTGTCTGACTGATTTTGCGCAGGTGAGCATGGGAAAGACGCGTGCTGGAAGACGCAGGCACAAGCAGCTTGAAGGTTATTGTTGATGCCTTTTAATGCCTTAATCATTGAAACCAACTTTGTGGCCACCCCGTATTGAAGTTCTGAGTGGCCCAGGCACACATTTGCGCACACCATTTCTTCACGTAGCATGCCTGAGGCAGACATCTTGCCAAGTTGACCGAGTAAGTAAACCTCAGCAACTTAGCACCAGCACTACATCTCCAGCAGTAGTGGAACTACTGGGAACTGTTTGTGCTTGCAGCTCTTTACCAGCCGTGAGGACGCTATCCTTTAGCCTGGAGAATCCACAACCAACACTCCTTCAACATCCTTCAACCATGCAAAGTGAGCGTGCATTAAAATTGTTGCTATGATCGTTGAGAGTGAATCGCTTCAGGACCTTGTGGTTGGTTGTTCCTCTTACAAATGCTGGACGATGCAAGCCTGTGGCTGTTAGAATATCAGAGTATGTGTCTAATCACAAATGAATGCATACTTACTTCTTAGCAAAACTCTGGCGGCCGTCACTCCACTTCGTTTGTTTTTAAATGTGGCGCTAGTGTCACCTGCCTTTGTCAATCGCTTGGAATTTGTAACTGCTTTGTCCCAAGATGTCCTACGTATGTTCCGGTTGTCATTTTTGCGTTTACAAGTTGTGGTTTCGTCATTTTTAACAGTGAGAGAACGTGTGCAATGATGGCATTGACGTTTCAGTTCTTGCTTTGCGAGAGTGCGTGTGTGTCTTTGACGCTCACAATTGACAATGCACGTGAGGTGTTTGGGTGCCGCATTGCTCGGGCTTACATTAGGAGCGTGCAGAGCTCAGACATGGCTCCTTTGACATCAAGTTGATCCCCATTCCTTTTTGCTGTTTTCACATCTCTTTGTCCTGTGACAAATGCTGGCCAGTTTTCTGCACTGGTACAATTTACACTATAGATAGATAGATAGATAGATCAACAAGGTATTCAAAGAGTCGTCAGACATCTCCACAGATTTGGCACTTCTTGCGTTATTTGCGGTGTTTGTAATTGTTCGCTCAGTGCTGACACTAAAGGAGTCAAGCACCAAAGGGCATTGCATTAAAAAAAAGCTAGCAATATCTAGTAAAAATATTGGCACGTACAACATATGTATATATATATATATATTTGTGTACATACAGTCATTGTATGTAGCTCACATACTACTTTTGGATAGTCACTTTTTTGAATCTATACATGGGTTTTTAGTCGTAAGGTGTTATGTGGCTCTTGCATCACATAATCAAAGCCTGCTGCAAGTTCTGAGGGCAGAGAAGGGTTTTGTGGCCCCAAAGGCGTGTGGGTGTTGAGATGGGTTGAGGGGTCTCGGAGTACAAAAATCAAGGTTGGTCAACTTGTCAACCTCCCTGTGAACAATTGTATACCTGGCTAAAACAACACAGCATGTTTGCCACAGAGCTTTTGGTTTAGTGTGAAACAAAGAGATGAGAGATGATGTTTAAGTTACTTGGGTTGCAGAAGAGGCAATTGCCAAGTGCCTTTTCGTCCGAGAAAAGGTTGTGGCAAACAAGGGAAAACATCTCAGACATGGAAAATTAATACAGTGTGACATCGTGTGCGATTTGGTTCACGCCACATGATGTGCTTCCAGGCCCCTACTGCTCCCAAACAAGTTGATGCTCGAATCTTGTCAGCTGGACTGAGTCCGAAGCCCAGCTCTACTCTATTGGACTACATTGTCATTGGGCACGATACATTCAAGTCTTCAGCTTTGTGCTTTAGGTGTAGGTAAAGTATGGTAAAGTTGTTTGACAACAGTGGCTTTGAGAAATGTCGACTGTCTCACGTGCCAAGGCTCTTGGCTAATTGGAGGTCCGGCCCAGGCAAGCAGGATGCTCTATAAAGGAAGTCAAAAGCCAGGTGGCTTTTCACACTGCCTTGATTTGGAGATAACTGTCAAAAGGCTCAAAACTACCAGCATTTGCATGTGTGCAAAAGTTTGATGCTAGAAGTCCATGAATAGCAACATTTCCTCTAGAAAAATGACAACAAAGATAAGTATCTAGCAGCCGCTTAGAGGGTTTGCAAGGGTGCATATGTGTTCGAGCAAGCAGACTATGCATTTGCTTTCCCCTTTGCTTTCCCTAGCTTACATGGCATCATCCTTCGATTGTGTCATTGGGGCTTCTCCAGATGCATCGAGGTGCGAACTCGGAGCTGCGATTGCTTGTTTTTTCTTTTGGTATGTGTATCCTGTTGAGGATCACAAAATCTAGTGGTTGGTCTTGCGATGGAGACCTGCATCAAACCTGCACCGATGGGGGCCGACCCGTCTACCGATGTCCTTTCGATGGACCCACTTAAGGAAGCACGCTGCCACGCTACATTTGTAGTTGGCGCAAATACCTCTTCTCAGTTTGAGCTGCTTACACCAGTGGACCTGTTTTGCAGCTGAAACAACAGGGGCCACAGTTTTTTGTGAAACCATGTGAAGCTGCAGTCAAAAGGTAGTGCCTCGGGTAACACACCTAGTGTTGAGAGTCGAGAGCAGCCCGGCCGTTTGTGTCCCAAGACTGTGACTCAAAGAGATGTGCTACGGTTTGCAAGACCTACAACCTTCTAACCACTGAATAGCTTTCTTATTGGATGCCGACCGATGCCCAACTTGAACATGTTTGTAACCTTGGAAGAGCAACCTCCCCGCAACTTGCACAACCACCACTGTATTTAACTCGTGCCTTCACTGTTGGCGTGCCAAACTGTGGCAAGCTTGATACCGCCAACAGAGCTTGCTGAGGGTGCAAGTGGACCTGCTTTGCACCCGACCCTACACACCTGCAAAACCATGCAAAACCGATGGGGGCCGCCCATTAGGCAATGTCCTTGGTCTAGATACCAGATTTCGTCCGGCAAATGATGTACCATAGCGCATGTACAAGGGCGACACAGGGCCGCCAGGATAGCAGGTGTGGGATGTGTCACACCTGCAGGTGCCCAACCTTCAGAGTGTTTTTCAACTGTACGTTGGGGCACCAGTGCCTGAATTCTTGACACCGAGCAGTTTGGCAACCTGCATGCCTTTCAAATTGTGGGCCGGGGCTTTGTTTTTTCTGTATTGGTGCCGAGTTGTTTTTTGTTTCCCGGGGCTTGTTGTTTTCATGCTGGTGTGTGCTAGATGTTGACGATTGATATCAACTGAGCGGCACTTTGCGCTCAGCGCTATGACGCAGTTTTTCCGCATAGACTCATAGACAAAGAAAGGGAAGTCACACAAACAGCAAAATCAATACATAAACAAAGAGAATCTGAGTAATGCAACAAATCCGCCCTCGTATTGGAACCAAACAGGAAGTGTGTGACGATCGTTTTTGGGCAAATTGAATGAGGCACCATGAGGTACCCGCGTTTTCAATCCAGGCAACAACTGTGCACCGATCGTTTTCATGTGTTTTGAAAGAAGATCATGAGGCAACAAGTTAAATTACACTTATCACTATTGGCAGGTGGTATTAGGGAACAAATGCCCTGTATTTATCATGCGTGGTGATGCGATTTCAACATTTGGGTGAGGCAGAGCCCTGAATCTGCAGTTGCCGTGTGCCCTGGCGGCTGTTTGTTTGGTCTTCCTGAACGAGGCAAACCCGCTGGTTCTTGTTTCTTTGCAAATCGCGGTAAGGATGTGAGATGATGTGAGTACAAATGAACTCAGCAGGTGAAAGATTTAGGAAACCTTCATAGATTTAGGAAACCTTCATATAGACTAAGGGCACAGATTTTTCCCACTGGGACGGATTCTGTTAAGAAGTTTTGAGCAAGGTTTCGCTTGTGAACCATGACAGAAGCACGAAAGAACAAAGGAGGAAGCAAAGCACCGATTGACCGACTGACAGACAGAGAAGGGCAAACAGACGGCTGCAGGTGATTCTTGCAGCTTTGCCGTTGGTGCAGCGTGCGGAACCAGATAGTTTCCTGTGCCTTGTCCTAGTGGTGAGCAAAGAATTGAATGTGACGCACATTTCTGCAGTCAGAACTGAATGACTGACTGACTCACAGACTCATATCAGCTTCAGTTCATCGAAACAGACCCCATCCCTTGACTCAACCGTGCGGGTTCAATCAAAGCGTTGTGTTTGCATACCTTTGTGATTGGCATGTGTTTTGCATTTGATTTGCTTCAATCTGCCAAGGGATGACATTTTGCTGCAGCCAGCCCTGACAGCTGATGACCGCCCTGGCTGTATGGAGAATGGTTTGGCTGTACAAGAGGCAGCTCCCAGTTTAGAGCTAGAGTCGTCCATGCATGTGTTGATGCAAATAATTCGAGTGTTTATAGATCGCATTTGATTAGCAAGCTTCTATTTGCATGTGTGATCTTGAAACCCAGCAAGACGCAGCTAAGTTGTTAGGCCCACAAAGCATATAATCAGTATAATTAGTTGTCCAAAGGGGAACAGAACGGCATCGTTGGAAACAACACGTGAGCAGCATTTC